GGTTTGAATCCCATAAGAAGCAAATACGGCCAAATATACCTCCAGTAAATATAGAGGGAAATGGCAAGTATGATAATACAGTCATAAAAACAAGAGAAATAACAAGAGTAAAATGACTTATATGGTATAAAAATTACTTCTCCCCTTCCTTAGGAATATTGTCCAAATCATAGTCAAAACTTGGAAATACTCTTTTCATCTCATCTTTAGTTTCCTATGTAGTTTCATCACTAGAATAGCCATTCTATTGAATCAACAATTCCTGAGTTGTTTTATAGCATATTTTCACCAACCTTTGAACAAGAATATATGCTAAACTAGCTTTCTCAGCATCAATCTCTAGAACCTGGATGATGAGCTAATCTAAGATATTGCTAAAGTATGAACATGTTTTTAACTTGCTCACATGGAACTTCAAATGAATTTTAGAGCTAGCTAGCAAGTCTAAAATGTAAGGAAGATCTCCCACACATTGCAAAATTGCACAAAGCCTATAATACTACAAAGACAACTTAATATTACTACCTCCTTTGAGAGACCTGAGCATATTAGACAACTTAAGAAAAACCTTATCACCAACTTTTTACTCCTAATGATGATAATACTCATCAGTTAATCTCTTGTCTTGATCTTGAGTTTGCCTTATATTCAACTTTGCCAACTTAAGTTTGTCTTGTATATCCTCTAGGAAATCACAAGCAAAAAGCACTTGATCTAAAGCTAAACTCAAACCCACAAGAGACCATGGCTTGAAGCTATATATCACCATAAATAAGGATATGTCAATAGCTAATTATTGAGTCTATTGTGAGCAAACTGAAGCAAAGGTAAATACTTCTCCCATACACCTTGCCTAGTCAAGCTCCCCACAAATGATCATAGCATATCTTCCAATAGTTGATTTATGCCCTTTGTCTATCTATCAAATTGTGGATGCTCACCTCTACTCATGTTCAACTTAGTCTCTAATTTTTCAAATACTATTTGCTAGAACTTTGACATGAATTTGAGATCCCAATCACTCATAATATCACCTAGCAAACCATACAGACTAAATAATTAGTTTACAAATAACTAAGGAAGATCAAAAGCTTTAACATTTGTCTTCATGGGAAAAAGTGAGCCAATTTTCATCAAACAATCCATATCAATCCAAATAATATCATTTTCTTGAAAGGTTTTGGGCAAATTAATGATAAAGTCCATCAAGATGTTATCCCACTTATGCTCAAGTATATATAGAGGATGGTAAAGGTCAATGAGCTTCTAGTGATCAGATTTAATTGCCTAGCAGGTCAAACAATTGTATATGTACTTTTCTACATCTAACTTCATCCCAAGCCAAAAAAAATGTGTTTTTACCAACACATACGTCCTTAATACCCTTGGATGCCCAACACTTGGCATATCATGACACTCCACCAAAATCCTTTTGATGAGCTTATCAACATAAGGAACCACTGTATAACCCTTCTTCACCAAGATTCCATCTTATATCTCAAATGACATAAAATTGTCGGGGCTTCACAACAATAGAGGCATCCCTCTTCAAATCTTCATGTGCATATTAACGATAAAGGAGTTGAAGTCAACAAACTCCTTAAGCTCATCCAAAAGATCACTATATAATTTCACAAATGAGATATAATTCACTATTCTAGATAATGCATCAACCACCTTATTGTCACCCCTCATCGATATTGGATCTTAACTAACATTTCTTACAAGAACTCTTACCAACATGCAAAGTGGTCTTGAAGATTTGTTTGATAAATAAAATATTGGAGAGACTAATAGTCTAAATCTATATAGAACTCCAATCCATATAAATAATATCATCATTTCTTCACAGCATTAACTATATCATATAACTCCTTGTCACAAGTCAGCTAATTCTGTTGTGTCAAGAATATGCCCAATTTAAAACAATACTACTCCAATAGCAATGTCATTTGCATCTATCTCAACCACAAGTGACTTCTTAGAATCAAAGATATTCAACACCAAAGTAGAAATACAATACTATTTCCACTGTGTAAATGCCATTTGACATTTTGCATCCCAATTATATATAATAGTATGATTCAATGTGTTTTGGAGAAGATTAGTTAAGGGAGTAGGCAATATATACTACTCAACCACAACCTTGATCTTTGCTAGATCAACTCTCAATCCATGCATTAAAATCAAATGCTTAAGATATCCAATTTCCTATTGTCTTTCAAGAATTCCAACACTTGTTTCACATGCATTTCATGCTTTTCTAAGGTAACACTAAATACCAAGATATCATCAATATAGTGTATGTGATCATGGGATGAGATTTGGATATACTGTCACCATGGATCTTTGGAACCTTGGGGGATAAATAGGGATAAAATAGCCACTAAGAGCTCTTTCATCAAACAATTACCCAGTTGACTTAAGGGGAGAGAGATAAAGTGCGCTACATGTGGTATCGGAGCAAATGACACAAGTTTGATTCCTATTGATTAGTGGTTACTTAAAAAATACAATATACCCTTGAGCAAGGTATATTCCTACCTCTAGATTTGAAATCGTACGTATTGGGCATCTATGCATATGTCTTTCCTCTTGTGTGGAGTATCCACGGACGAAAGTATCCACCATAGGACTGTGGTACGGGTGGATGACTAATTGCCTCACATGGAATAGCCAGTTTACATAATGGAAAGATTAATAGATTCAATGCGGAAATGGAGGTGTTGGTTCCCCTTGGCTTAGTAAAGGTTGTTAGTCAATAGTCAATAAGGACATTAACATCTTTAAAGGGGGGGTGAGTGTAGCGCATGTGATCATAGGATGAGATTTAGATATACTGTCATCATGGATCCTTGGAACTTTGAGGGATAAATAGAAATAAAATAGCCACTAAAGGCTCTCTCATCAAACAATTGCCCCTTTTCCAGTTGGCTTAAAGGGAAAGAGATAAGGTGCACTACAATCAAAATAATCAATCACAAAATTCCCCAAGTAAGGTTGCAAAATTTGATTCATTAAACCTTTGAAAAGTTGCAAGCATATTTGTCAAACCAAATGGCATCACCAATAATTTGTAGTGACTTGTCCTTGTTTGAAATATTGTCTTTGGAACATCCTCCAGCTTAATAATAATTTGATGATATCATTATCTCAAATCAATCTTTGAAAAGTAGCAAGCACCACAATACACCAAATCATTGATATGAGGGATTGAGAACATATTTTTCAGTATCTTATCATTCAATCTTTTGTAGTTCATGCAAAGACACTATATACTATCTTTCATCTTGACTATTAGCACTAAAGCAACCTAAGAAGAGAACAGTAGATAAAGATGGGTAAGTATAAAAATCAAGTTTTGACATATGTGTTAATTGCTAAAGAAATTGAGCCTGGACAAGTTAGATTTTCTGGAACCTCGGAGATTGTGTTATATTTTGGATGTGTCAACAGTGAAAATGCAACTAATGCATATCTATATCCTTACATATAGTACAGAAACAAAGTCATGAACACATGACATGAAAAAGTAGGGATTAATGCAAATCAGCAACAAGCTCTTCATTGCTAAACCACTCATATGACCATTGCTAATGCAAGTATGTAAGCTAGAAATCTTGAAAGTTTGTATTCACTTTTATAGACTACATTATCTTCACTTTTATTGACTACAGTTTGAATTTAACTCAATAATATAACCAAGACATCAAAACCCGTTGAAGTAATCTTTCCCAACTCTTGCTGAAGAATACTGCACAGCTCCATAAAACACATGAAACAACAGCAGCAACAATGCCAGCCAGCATCCTTCCATCTTCATCCTTCCCACCAGAATGATTATCCAAATTATGGTCATCAGGAGCAGCACGTTGACATTCTGCAAGTGGGATGCCACACAGCCCCGGATTTCCTTCGTAGCTGCTTGCTGGGAAAACTGGAAGCTGCCCTGCCTGTGGAATCCGTCCAAGAAGCCTGTTGTGTGAGATGTTGAAGTACTTCAAAAAGGTGAGGTCGGCAAGCGAGCCCGGGATCTGTGATTCGAGCTGGTTTTGTGAGAGATCTAGCCACTCAATGTTCTTGAGGTTGCCCATTGTGGAAGGAATAGCCCCTGTGAGCAAGTTGTGTGCAAGGTTCAGCCAATACAAATTCTGAGTCGCACGGAATTCTGTTGGGATTGTTCCTGTGAAGCTGTTGAATGAGATATCGATGCACCAGTGGCTAGTATGATTTGGAGTTAAATAAATGTTGAAACCCGGAGGTGCTAGGTAGAACCAAGTTTGGCATCTGGTTGCAATGGGAAGTTGCTCAAACTCATGGAAACGTATCCCCTGGAGTATGAACATGGCCTCGTTGTAACCTTTGCAGATGGATGGCTCTATGTTGAACAGCAACACCATCAAGTAGGGGAATGTTACATCATTATTATACCGCGTCTCTTTAACTGAGCAGCCGACCCAGCTTGGAATTTCTCCCGCCATCTGGTTGTCGTTCAGTGAAAGCTGGATTAGATTGCTGGTGTTTTTTAGCTCCACTGGAAGACCACCCTCTAGCTTGTTGTGCCCAAGTAGAAGACCTCGAAGACTTGGTATCTGTACCACAGATGCCGGGATTGATCCAGATAGCATGTTGTTGCTAAGAACTAGCGTGTACATTTTCTTCAAGCGAGATATCTCCTCTGGTATAACACCGGAGAGATTGTTGTGACTGAGATGCAGGGTCACCAACTCACTGCAGTCGCCGATTGTAGGTGGTATCCTGCCTTCGAGATTGTTGCCCCAAAGGATGAGGTGTTGAAGCTTTGGAAGTCTGCTGCATATATCCTCTGGAAGTGATCCTGTCATGGAGTTGAGACTCAGATCGAGCATTTGTAGGTTATCACAGTGAAAGCTCAAAACCGGACCATGCAATCTGTTGTATACCAACACCAAAGACTCGAGTCTGGAGTTTAGGAGGCAGATGTTTGTGTTGCTACTGATGAACATGTTGCAGCTCAAGTCTAGAGCCTCGAGGGTTTGAGGAACTGTAGGGAGTTCACCCGTGAAACTGTTGTGGTCGGCTCGAAGAACCTTCAGGGACTTGAAAACCTGAGGTAAACTTCGATTGGCAAATACCGAGAGAAATGGTCCAGAGAAGTGATTATCTGACAGGTTGAGCACCTTCAAAGCATCACAATCGTTCCAAAAAACTGTTTCAGAAATGTTGTTAAACGAGACGTCCAACTCCTGCAGACTAGTACAATGCTCAATCCGAAATGTTGTGAAGAAGTTAGATGAAACATTAAGATGTCGTAGACTTTTGCAGTTTTTGAACATATCTTCAGGGATCTCTCCAACCAGCTGATTGCTCGAAACGTCTAGAAACTGCAAGCTCTTGCATGATGTGAAGAAAGAAGAAGGCATTGAACCACTCATTTCGTTGTAGGATAGATCGACGGAAACCATTGAATTCCCAATTGATCTTTTCACTGAAATGTGTTGTAGCTTGTTGTGTGAGAAGTTCAAAATCCTCATGCCTTTGCATGAAAGAGTAAGAGTGTCGAGAAAATCCCCAGTGAAATGGTTCCTTGACAAGTCAAGAACCTCCAGAGAGCATTCCTGCGAAGAGGATATGTTGATTTCTGTGAGGTTGTTCCCTGAAACAGAAAAGTTGCGTAGCTGAGGTAGGGCTTGGATTGTAAAAATCGGAAGAGGTCCTGAAAGTGAGAGATCGTTGAGCTGTATGCTAGAAATCTGGCCTGGCAGTGCTGAGGAACAATTGATACCATTCCATTGGCAAACATCTGTTCCTCTGTTCCAGCTATTCAGCGACAATAAAGGATCATGTACAGATTTCCTAAAATTCAAGAGTGCTTCAACTTCTAAATCTCCAGCATCTGCATGATCGACGAGCCTGATAGAAAGTAAGAAAACAGCAAGTAACTTCCACGCATCCATTTGAAAGAAACAGCAAGAAATGAATAATGAATGGTTCAAGTCTTACCATATCATATATATTTTGCAGCCTTGAAAGTGCTTTCAAAGGCTCTTTGGAAAAACCTGGGTCTTAGAGTATCGCCACATGACTTTGAACGGAATGATCAAAGTGAACGTTCTCACCTAGTCCTGGATGCATAGTGTGATACTGGAAAACAGCAATAGATTTTTGACAGAGAAATTCAAGACTATTACCATTTGGACCAATTTTCCCATGGGAGAATATGGCCGTGGGATCCTTGAAATCACTAAAGCGAGCATTCTCACAACAAAGTAGGCTTTCTTCTTTCGTACGGTTGTTTCTTTTCAGTGCCGTGTCCTCAGTTACAACGTGGTTGTCTCTTTTAGTGCCGTGTTTGACTTCTTCGTTCCCAATTGTTAGGCACCAGGTCAGGATAATAGGATAAGGAAAGGGCCCTACAATCAAGTGATCACCTCTTTAGCCAGTTGGCTTAGGGTGTAAGGGATAGGATCCTAACATTGGTATCGGAGCCTAGTTCGATTCTCGTGGTTGACGAGTGGGGCAGGAATATTTGAAAGGAATATTCAACATGGTGGATCTAGAGGGAGAACCAAGGTTTGGTAGACCCTAAGAGAAGGACCATGGTGACGGGAAGGTGGCCTAAGTATGATCGTGGACGATCATTCCCTGACGAGGGGGAGGATTGTTAGGCACCAGATCAGGATAATAGGATAAGGAAAGGGCCCTACAATCAAGTGATCACCCCTTTAGCCAGTTGGCTTAGGGTGTAAGGGATAGGATCTTAACACCAATCCCAAATTTTGAATCTGCAAGACCCACGGATTAGTCATTTTAGTGACTCAAAAGAACATGACTTTGAGCTACTGGATACCTGGAAAGTCATAGAAACATTGGAAACATCGGAGGAGCGAAGATTTAAAACTAATAACAATTGCTGAGAATAACTCAAATTCTAGTGATTCATGAGTTTGACTGAATATTTTGTTTAAGGCTGGGCAGACAAGCGCACCACATATCTGCACTCAATATCCTCACCCTCCATGAGAGAGCAAAGTCGTATGCAACCGCAGAGAAGGCCGAGATGAAGACGGTGTCCTCTACAAGTCTCACTGCCCAATCCGTAAAAGAATTAGGTCCACACAGCTCCCTACACCAACACCGATGTTGAGTTCATCTCCCAGATTGCTGCTGCATTGCTTTCAACAATTGTTTCTCTAGATCAAACATGTTCATTACCCAGTAGCATTTCCCCTTGTAGATGAAGGGACGAATGTGTTGAAGAAGCTGGTTACATAGTGCTGGTCGCGCGTTGTCCACGTGAGACCAAGCTCTGGAATGCGGATCGTAAGTTGGGAGTATCTCCCGCCTAGTGGTGTAGAAGAAAGGTCAGCCCCGTAGAGGTGATCCCAGTGAGCTTGACCTGCTGAAGAAGGGGCCCTCGTGCCAAGAAGATGCTGCATGCGGACAATTCGATCTTGCAGTTCGTAAAGTATGACAATGTGACTGGTGACATCTCTTTCGCTGTCAATGCAAAGAAGGGCTGGATGTATGTAGACGACTTTTAAAAAGAAATGGAACTGGCGGAAGCGCCTTCCAGATTGGATTCCCCACAGCCAAAGTCGTCGATTCCGAGTGTTCCACGAGCATCCCACAGACGAGCCCGTTGGACGAGCACAAGCCCACGAAACACGATCCCGGAGGGCCTAGTGGAAGGATGCACCTCTTGCGCTGGGATCTGTGTGGACGCCATAGCTCGGCGTGATTCTCCAGTGTCATGCCATAGTCAAAACGATCGTCAGTGTACATGTAACGACGCTGCCTACAGCCACGACACCTGCGAATGCGTCCTTTGACTCGTGACCGGCTGGCCCGTGCGCACCCTGAACACGGCCCAGGGCTCCAGCGGTGGCTTGTAGAGCTGCACGAAACGAGGAGAGAGCACAGGATCGTGCCAAGACTTGCACACCGCCTGCAATGTGAACAAGTCTGGGACGTCCAGGAAGCTCAAGATGTGCAGCACTAGCGATGGCTCCGTGACGCACTCGAAATTCCCGCAGAGACCTGCGCTCCATTTCCCCATTCTCTTATTTAGAAAAATTCTCCTTCACTTATAGGGAGCATCTTTTAGTTTCATGGACGCGCCAGAATTGCTTGTTCGAGTTTTTGTGCTGTCCAAGATTTCCTCCAGATTCAATCACTTGTCAAGGATGCCTGTGTGTAGTGTAGAGAGACGAACCTCCAGCAGCCATGGCTGCTAGCGCTGCTACTCTTGCTAGCACTGTTTTTTATCTATATTCCAGGAAAATAAAGTATATCATTTACTAATTTTATAACATATAGGGCCAAATATACGGTTATGATGTTATATACTAATATTAGCGTAATGGGATTTTGGTAGCCATTGGATTGGTTTTAATTCTAACCACTCGCTTTTGTATATAAGTTAAAGTTTTTAAGCTAATTGATATGCATATTTTCTGTCCATATTCCAAACACTCACATTAGTGGAGGTGAAAAGCAATTTTCATTATCCCTGAGGAATGCTTGAATTTGGGATTTTGGTTTAAATCTAACTTTTGCATTGTCAAAATTTAGCTTTTTCCATTTCTTTTTTTTTGTTCTTTCCTTTCAGACCTTTTCCATTGTCTAGATCTCCTTTTCCTTCTAGTTTTTTCTCATTTCTCTTCTTTTGCTCTTTCCTTTTCATTTATCTTTATGGTAAAGTAATAGTTTCCTCCTCTAGCTTTGGAGTAGCAATTAGTACAATTGCTTGATGCTATTGCAATTGAACAACTAAACTCAATTGATGACAGCATTCACGGCATATGGTCCAGCTCCTCCTACTTTTGGTGCCAATCTTCGCGTTTGGCCAAAGTTCTTTCGTGAGAATTTTGGGGATAATGTGTACCATTGGTTCAATCACTTCACAGTGATTGCCACATATCATATTTGGAATGATGCTCGACGTTTGTGTGAGTTTCCTCATGTCTCCAAGGGACGGTGCTATAGTGGTACAATGGTTTGAGTGTAGCCACTCATGGGGATTGGAGTGTTCTCCCGGATGTCTTCAAACATGCATTTGGATATGCCGACGATTGTGATGATGCCTTCCAGCAATTGCAACATCTTCGTCAAGGGCCATATGAGTCGGTGATGCAATTTGGCGTTCGTTTCCAAAGCCTTTTGCTTCGTGCAGAATTAAATATGTTAGAGCGGATCAAGCTAGGAATGTTGTGGCCAGCACTTCCTCAAAATCTTGTTGTAGGCGACTAAATTTTCCATTCTATTTTAGTCACTTAACCACACCTCTAACCACTTGGAGGAGTCTCATTCACAACCTCCTTAAATCCAATTCAAGATTTGGGACTTGTTAGTCTCGAGAATGGCATCCATGCCACTCATCCTTTACACTTGGTCCAAGTGCTCCATGCGTCTAGTCCCAAAATCGACACCCAAAGGTACCACTGACATATCAGCCCGTTATGCTAAGGCCATGCCCATTCACCTTTGCCGCACTGCGAACTCAGTCATTACC